TTAAGCTACACTGGAAAATCTTTCTGTGTGGCCCGTCTCAGAGGAGTAAACGCAGTTATTTTAAAAATTGATTTTGCAGATACAAAATTTTGTTCCTGGACGTGCTGTTCCCATTGGATGTCAGGAAAATTATATTCGTCGATGCGGATCTCATCGTTCGTACCGATTTGATGGAACTGATGGAATTAGATCTCGGTGGTGCTCCATATGGTTTCACACCTTTCTGTGACAGTAGATCTTCGATGGATGGTTTCAGATTTTGGAAAAAAGGCTATTGGGCAAATCATCTTGCTGGTCGTAAATATCATATTAGGTCGTAAATATCATATTATTTTTTTGTTTATTCTTTATCATTTAGGAAATTCTGCATTTCGGTTTCAGGAATATTTCCTAATTGTTTTCTTGACTTTTTTTAAATATTTTTCAATCTTGATCAAAGCATTGGGCATAGTGATAGTGGTGAAAATAGTAATAGTAATAAAAATCGTAGTATTACTGCAATAATTTTTTTTGTGATAGTGATGATACTCACTTACTTGATACGGTGTTTCTGTCACTGACGCGCTGTTGATCTCCAGTGGCTGGGCCGAGTGCTAACCTGGTAGTGATGATAAATAATGGTAATTATATTAATAACAGGGCAGAAGTAGTAACAGTTATTTCGAAAATTTGAAATAGCTATGCTTCTTCATAGTCTAGCTCTGCTATCCATCTACTGCGGTTTTAACGTTCGATTCTCAGAGGAGCAAGTAACTGATTCAGATTGCAATAAAATTTACTGGTGGACACTTTTTTGCTACACTGCAACAAATGGAATAAAAATTACGGCACAAGTGAAAAAAATAAAGTAAAATTAATTAGAAAACAGTTTTTTTTTCACTTTTTTTTCCTTCGTATTTTGATCAAATTAGTTTTTCCACAATTTGATTTCTCAAAAGTTAGTGTTAATTAAATCAAGTTTACATGTATTCTGCTTATTTTCAGTGCTCTCTACGTAATAGATTTGGTGAAATTCCGTCAGGTGGCAGCTGGTGATCGTTTACGTGGCCAATATCAGGGTCTTAGTGCTGATCCGAACAGTCTTGCAAATTTGGATCAGGTACTTTTGTCGTCTAGTTCAGTTCATTTTCCTCATACTTGATACTTGAAATGGCTACTGACTCACCTTTGGTATATGTATATATGCTTGCGTGTGTATGTGTGTGTGCGTGCGTGCGTATGCAGTCATATTTGGTACACTTCCTAATGGTATAGCCGATATCCATGCCAGTTTCTCCATTTTCTGATTGCTTTGACCAGTGTTGCATCAGTTGGTGACCATCATTTTTGCCATCTTGACGTTCTTTTCGTTCCTTGAAAGAGGTCTTGACTCTTGGCATTCCCGACAAGAACTTGGGCAAAGCTTTAGCCAGTTTGAGATTCAGTTGAACGTCACTACCTTGTCTGAAAGAGTTATCACACCAAACCACACTGAGGTATTTGCCATCTTCACTGGTGGATCCAAGGGGGCGGGGGAGGAGGGGGGGCAAGGGGCCTTTTGCTTCTCCCAGGGGCTCAGGTAGCAATTGTTTTACTACAGAAAACTCTCTCCGATATCTCCGCTCGCCCCTCCCCCTGCGGAAGGCCCTCCCGCCACTCTCAGTTTAGAGTCGACGAGCAAGAGAGGGGGGAGGGGGAGGGGACAGCGCGATCATCGAAGGAGTATAGTGGGGCGACTGAGAGAAGGGGGGGGAGGTTAGTGGGGTGTGCCCGAGGAGAAGATGGAGCTCCCAATGTAGTGGCCAACAGAGAGGAGAGGACGGAGAAAAAAATCGCGCAAATCCTCCTCCCCCCCC